CGGGCTCCCTGCTCGGCAGGAAGCCTGCTTCTCCCTCTCCCACTCCCCCCTGCTTGTGTTCCTGCTCTTGCTATCTCTCTTTCTCTGTCAAATAAGTAAATAAAATCTTTAAAAAAAAAAAGAAAAAGACAACCACCACCCTGGGAGATATTGCAAATCACATGTCTGATAGAAGATTTATATCCAGACTATACAAAGAGCTCTTAAAACCCAACAGTAAAAAAACAAACCCAATTTAAAAATGGGCAAAAGATCTGAACAGATGTTTCCTCAAAGAAGACATACGGGGCGCCTGGGTGGATCAGTTGGTTAAGCGTCTGCCTTCGGCTCAGGTCATGATCCCAGAGTCCTGGGATCGAGCCCCGCATCGGGCTCCCTGCTTGACGGGGAGTCTGCTTCTCCCTCTGACCCTACCCCCTCTTGTGCTCTCTCTCTCTCTCTCTCTAATAAATAAAATCTTAAAAAAAAAAAAGACGTATGGATGGAAAATTAGCTAATAAAAATATGTTTAAGACAACAAATCAAATAATCCAATTAAAATGACTAGACCTTTCTCCAAAGATATTATACAAATGACCAAGAATCATATGAAAAGTTACTCAACATCAATAATTGTGGGGCGCCCGGGTGGCTCAGTCAGTTAAGCATCCGCCTTCGGCTCAGGTCATGATCCCGGGGTCCTGGGATCGAGCCCCGCATCGGGCCCCCTGCTCAGCGGGGAGTCTGCTTCTCCCTCTGCCTCTGCCCTTCCCTCCCACTTGTTCTCTTTCTCAAATAAGTAAATAATAAAATCTTTTTAAAAAAATTAAACATAGAATTACCATATGATCCAGAAATCCCATTTCTGGGTATTTACCCAAAGATTTGAAAGCAGGGTTGCAAAGACATCAGCTGTCATTAGGGAGATGCAAATTCAAAAGCACAAGATACCACTGAGAAACTGCCATGGATCAGAGGAGACTAAAGAGACATGGCAGCTAAATGCAGTGTGTGATCGTGAATGGGGTCCTCGAACAGAAAGAGGACATAGTGGAACAGCTGGTGAAATCCAAATAAAGTGTGTGGCTTAAGATTACTGTACCAATGTTAACTTCTTAGTTTGGGCACTGTACTATGGTTTTACATATATTAGTCTGCTTGGGCTGCTATAACCAAATACCATAGACCAAGTGGCGTAAACAACAGACATTTATTTCTCACAGTTCTGGAGACTGGGAAGTCCAAGGTCCAGGTGCCAGCTGATTCAGTTCCTAGTGAGAGCTCTTCTCCTGGCTTGCAGATGGCCACCTTCTTGCCATGTCTTCATGTGGCAGAGAGAGAGGCAGGTAGAAAGAGAGAGAGCTCTCTGGTCTTTTCTTCTAAGGGTATTAATCCCATCATGAGGGTCCCATCTCCTGACCTCATCCAAACCTAATTACTTCCCAAAGGCCCATCTCCAAATCCCATCGCACTGGGGGTTAGGGCTTCAACATAGGAATTTTGGAGAGGACACGTTCAGCCCAAAGCATTATATAAGATGTTAATATTAGGGAACCTGAGTGGAGAGTATACAGGAACTCTCTGGACTATCTCTGGAACCTTTCTGTACGTCTAAAAGGACTCAAAGACTTTAAGGTAAAAAAAAACCCAAGGTCAGAGGCACCTGGCTGGCTCAGTCAGTAGAGCATATGACCCTTGATCTCAGGGTCGTGAGTTCAAGCCCCACGTTGGGCATATAGAGCCTACTTAAAAAAAAAGAACAAACGGGGCGCCTGGGTGGCTCAGTCATTAACCATCTGCCTTCGGCTCTGGTCATGATCCCAGGGTCCTGGGATCGAGCCCCACATCAGGCTCCCTGCTGCGTGGGAAGCCTGCTTCTCCCTCTCCCACTCCCCCTGCTTGTGTTCCCTCTCTCGCTCTGTCAAATAAACAAATAAAATCTTAAAAAAAAAAAAAAAAGAACAAACAAACTCAAGTTCAGAAGGGTTGAAGGTGAGAGGACTTCAGATCCCCAAACACAGGATCAGGCCAGGTCAGAAAGACGATGGGTAGTGACAGAATGGCAATACTGGGAGAAAACAGGAGGATCGAGGTTCTATGAAGTATAGAAGCAGGTTTAGTTCACCATAAGTGATGGTTTTTGTTTTCCTGGAGGAGTATTCAGATACTAAAAGCTCAAGTGTAATGGACTGTGCTTTGTTATAACTGAGTAAAAAAATGGAGTAGTTGGGGACACCTGGGTGGCTCAGTGGGTTGGGCATCTGCCTTCGGCTTAGGTCATGATCCCAGGGTCCTGGGATTGAGTCCCACATTGGGCTCCTTGCTCAGCGGGAAGCCTGCTTCTCCCTCTGCCTGCCACCCCCCTGCTTGTGCTCTCTGACAAATAAATAAATAAAATCTTTTTAAAAATCTTACAAAAAACAGAGGAGTCAGAGAGGTAAAGCAGCAGCAGAATAAAACATCAAGAAAATTAAAAAGGGAAGCTTTTTCCTTAAGAAAAGGAGGTGGTCCACAGTGAAAAGGATCGCAAAATGGTAGAGACAAGCTAGTTTTTAAAAAGCTTTTCAATTTCTCTTATGCAGTAGAATTACACTTCCAAATGTCACTAATTATTAGTGGAAACATTTTATAACATTTTACTATTTTATAACAGTTGACAATCTGCACAAACACAAAAGAAAATAGAGTAAGAGTCTCCAAAATTTCAATATGGCTCTTAGTACTAACATATTTTTTTAAAAGATTTTATTCATTTGAGACACAGAGATGGAGAGAGAGAGAGCATGAGCAGGGACAGAGGCAGAGGGAGAGGGAGAAGCAGACTCCCCGCAGAGCAAGGAGCCCGATGTGGGGCTCGATCCCAGGACCGTGGGATCATGACCTGAGCCGAAGGCAGACACTTAATGACTGAGCCACCCAGGCGCCCCTCTTAGTACTAACATTAAAACATTGTATTTGCTGCTAAAATCCTACAAGAAAATAAAGAGAATAGAGAAACCATGGCATATGAAAGAAGCAAACATTAAAGAGCACGTTTATTTGGGGCTAATGACATCATGATTTGCAGTCTTCAAGACGAAGCAAAATGCGTGATTTGAACCAGATGTTAAAATGGTTTAGGGTTAGTATCTAAGGACACGTATTTCAGAAAATATGTGGAAAGGTGACGACACATCTGCTACAGGGAGTCCTTTATGTAAGTGTCTCTACATCGCATTTTACTTGGTTTCTCAAAATGCAATTGCTATCTGTTCTCAATAATAGATTAAAAACAAAAATCCCACAGAAGAAGCAATTCAGCCTAGTTCTATAGTCAGGTTTTTGGCTTTAGCACCTCCTCGCTATGGGATCTTGGGAAACTTACGCTCTCGGAGCCGCAGATACTCGTTTGTGAAATGAGAATGAGAACAGTTAAGACCTCTCTCATAGGACTGTCGTCTTGGTTAGATTTGGATAATACCCACAAAGTGCTTTCCATGGCACGTGACACAGAGTAAGTACCCATTAAAGAGTATCATCCTCATCGGTGAACTACTGCTATTTTTGATGATAAGTACTGATAAAATAACCACCCTTCGCATCTAAAAACAAACAGAACGGGTTTAGTGGAAGTAAGAGCATGAGAGCAGCAACGTTAGGAGGCTGTGATCACAGAAGTTTGGATCGCTCTAGAATCTTGGATCTCAGAGGTTGTGGACGTGGCAGCCAGGCTGTGGTCATGGGAGTTTGTGGCTAAAGTGGCATGAAGGTAAAGGTCACTGTTTGGAGGGGAGGTCAGGGAATTGGGAGGAGATTATGGTTGGCTATCCACGTGCTGCTGAAGTACCTTTCAGAACGAGGACAGGAAATGAGGTGGGGAGAGGAAGACTCCGTTGCAAAGACCTCACTGGATGCAGGAGAGTAACTTGGGAAGATGGTAACACAGCCCCACCCGAGCTTTCCCAGGACCCCGGCCATGCCCCTTTCTCCCAGTTCTTGCTAGCTCACATCTACCCCCCTACTCCAAGCTACTTTGCCTCCCAAATAAGGAAGGCAGGAAAAAAGCAAAGAAAAATGCCCTATTATTTCCCAACAGCGCCTTACATACATGTCTTGGGCAACTGCTAAGTGCAACCCACTGTAGAGAGTACACGGAGGTTAAAAGCCTCTTCTGGCCCCAACAGCTTGTAATACGGGTGAAGAGGTAAAAACAGGTATGTAACACTCCATATTGCTATCACTGAAACAGCGTGACGTTAAATATTTATTTTTTTTATTTTTAAAGATTTTATTTATTTATTTATTCATTTGAGAGAGAGAGAGAGAGAAAGCATGAGAGAAAATGAGAGAGAGCATGAGTTGGGGAGGGGCAGATGGAGAGGGAGAGGCAGACTCCCCGCTGATCAGGGAGCCCGACGCGGGGCTTGATCCTCAGGATCATGACTGAGCCGAAGGCAGATGCTTAACTGACTGAGCCACCCCGGGACCCCTAAATATTTAAACAGACAACACTCCTCTACAAATAGCAAATGTGAAATACAAGCTAGCCAACAGATACGTTTGTTTTGTCTCAGTATCATCTCTTACTCCAGGTCTCTCCCCATACCCACATATGGAAGCCATACTCTTTGTAGCCGCCTAACAGGATGGTAGTTACCTTGGGTTGCTCAATGAGACCCCATTTTCATTTAGATCTGGGCTACCCTGCCCACCTCCCTTACTCTAATCTGGCTGTTCCTTCTTTAAGTACAAAATCCGATAAGGAATAACTCACCTATAACTTTACCATTTGAAGTAAAGGAAGCAAGACTATACTTTCAGGGATCATTTCTGTAGTTTGTTACCAGGGAAGTTTCTCTGAACGTGAAGGTAAAGGAAGCTTTATGTAGATTCTGGCTTTTCATGGATTCTTTTCTGACAGTAGAGAGATTCAAACCCTAGCCAATTCCTGCCTATCTAAGAATAGAGTCACTTAAAAGAACCAGAGTTGCTGTAACTTTAAATATAATCCATGCCACTTTTTCTATGACACATCATACTACTTTTTTCAAAAATCTATAAACATTTTATTAACTTTGAAGAGGGAATAAGAATAGCTACTTTAGAAACGAGAGACACTCGAGCACTGATGTGTTCATAGAGTTTCCACACAGCTGAAGTTTACATCAAATGGACAAAAAATAGTACAGAAGACCTATATACAGAAAGATTTAGAAAGCCCATCTCTAGAAAGCAGGTCAGATGGACTCAAAGACCTCACCAAAAGTAGGAGGAATCGATGGGAAGCAATGGCAAGCCTTCTGCTGGGGCAAAAACGTGGCCCATGGAGTCAAGAAACGGTTCTTTTTCCTCCTCCTCTAAACGCCTGCCTCCGGTCTGGGTTGAGAGAAGGGTCCTGATCACTTGAACTGGTTGTCAATCAAGGTCCCCTTCATCTTTGCTTTCTTGGCTTCCAGTTCCGCCTGGAAAGGAAGGAAAGTATTGCCATGAAATTCTGACTTTCCTTCCTTCTTCTAACTGCCCAAACACTCTCCTTTGGTGTTCAGTTAGTACAGAAACTAGAACAGTGGTTGGCAGGTCGTTATGAATCTCTGGCAACCGCCTTCCACCCTTTCTGATATTATGGTACAGAGAATGATGGTGTCTGCACGGTAAAAGGCCACCGTCGAAGGTGATGAGCGCAGGGCTCCTCCAGCCCCAGGCCCCCCCAAGGGCCGAGGGACCGAATACTGTGGTATTATGCCACTATCCTATGTCTGGCGGAACAGGAAGAGAAACCCCGTTCTAGAACGGTGTTACTTCAGGTTGTGCAGTCCACGAACTGTTGGTTGCTGGGTTGTGCAAGATACACATAAAAATCGAGAGTTAGCATTCAGACACTCACACAGTCATTTGCCAGAGTAATAACAAAATAAAATAATTTAATAAGCGCACTCGAGGCAAATGCATTTCTGTGGCATTTTATAAATTACAAATCTGTTCTTGACAAATAGGAGACTTAAAAAAAGAAGCAAGCCCTGGTCCTTCCCCTCGGCAAATGTGATAGGCACGGCTCTCAACCACAAAGGCAAGGCAATGGCGCTCCCAAGACCCACCACCTCTGTCATCGAAGGGTCCTCTCCGGTCATTAGAAGGGACCGGCACAGCCTCTGATGAGGCACCAATGCACGGATGTCCGATTTTAAGGAGCTAGCGTAAGTGCATTATGACCAAGAAGACCCAGCTTGCAGCCGCCATCAAACATGAAGTGTGCATGCGCTACGAGGAGCCCGTGACTGACACAGCAAGTGGGCGTGGCCCCGGGGCTTTAGGAAGCAACGAGGCCCCCATCCTGATGCTGCCAATGTAGCACTGCTGCACACCCTCGTATCCTGGGAGCACGTCCACAAACCCCGACCTTCACCTCCTGACCTCGGACCCCAGGTAGCAGGTTCAAGTACCATTCTGGTCAGGGCGAGCTGACAAGTACTCTAACTTCGGGCCCGGAGCCCGTGGTCACTAGACAGGGTATACCGACCGTTACAGGCCAGGGTTACACGGCTGGCCGCCAACTACACTGGTGCCCCCCCAACCCCCGGACTTCCTGCAGGAGTTCCCTGAGCGTTGGAGGGTCTCTCAGATCGAGAAATCCCTGCCACCCTGGGCCACTCACCAGCTCCTGCAGCCGCCTTTTGCTCATGCCTTTGCGCTCCAGCTGCTTTTCAATCACTTTGGCATTCTGTGCATAGGAGTCGGCGACTTCTCTCTGGGGGAAGAAAAGCAGCACCCGTAACCCGGCAGTACCGACGAGTCAGAGACCGTAGGTAGCAATTCATGCTACTCAGATCTCACAATTATTCCTGAAATGGACTCTGTTCCCTTTAAACTCATCAGCTGTTCAATAATCCAGGAGAGCTCAGGTTTCGGCCGAAACCATTTGAAAAATAACCAATAGCATCTCCCTGTAAACCTCATTATACTGAAGGACCATAAAGGTTAATTGCTCCTACTGCTGAGGAGAGCCTCATAAACCACTCGAGCCGGACTGGACGGGACCCGAAACTGTGGAGTCCAATAGGCTTTACACTCAAGAGGGATGAGGGATTTGCCCCATGAAAGCATCTCAAAACACAGTAGGAAAACACCACTGATCTAGTCCAACTCCCCGGTTCTCATTTTATGGATGTCCTCGGGATCCAGGGAGACAGGAACCAGCCCGGGCTCCTGTAGTTTCTTACTAGCAGACTAAAGCCCGAGAGCAACGTTTCTTTCTTTCTTTCTTCTTTCTTCTTTCTTTCTTTCTTTCTTTCTCTCTCTCTCTCTCTCTCTCTCTCTCTCTCTCTCTCTCTCTCTTTCTTTCTTTTTTTTCTTAAAGATTTTATTTAGTTATTTGACAGAGAGAGAGACAGCGAGAGAGGGAACACAAGCAGGGGGAGTGGGAGAGGGAGAAGCAGGCTTCCCGCTGAGCAGGGAGCCCAAAGCGGGGCTCGATCCCAGGACCCCGGGATCATGACCTGAGCCGAAGGCAGACGCTCAACGACTGAGCCACCCAGGTGCCCCTGGGAGCAACATTTCTAATTATTCCGCTACTCGAATGGGCTGGTTTTAGAATCCCCGTTCCTTCCGGGCCCACCCCCCAATCCAGTTCCCTTGAGAGCAGAAACACTCACAGCCTCGATCTCCTCTTCCTCCTCGTCAATGGTCGACACCGTGACGGAGCTGAACTTGCCCATGTCTTTTGTCCGTTTGGTCATCATGACCTAGAGTCACAGGAGAAGGAATCAGTCTCGTTCACCGCAAGAGGCTCTGTGAGCTGCGCGCATGCTCCTGTGTGTGTCCACCCGTGGGCGCGCGCACATGACTCGTTGCAGGGGGAGGCGGTTGGGGGGGGAGGACACACCTCTTTGGGACAGGCTGGCCTATCTAAAAGTGCCAATGGGGTGGGTTTTTTTTTTTTTCTTTCTATTTGGATTCTATTTTTCTAACATTTGCCGTCAAGGCTTTTAAAAGTATATTTAAAAATGAGCCTCCTTCCTTTCATTTTAACTGTCCACACTGAAAAAAGAAGACATTTCAAAGGAAATCAATGTGAATCAAAACCATACAATTTCTAGCTTTACTCCTGGGACAGCCGTAGGAAAGAAAAAAGAATGCATGCTGGATGTTACATGTAACATCAGCTTACCCATAAAGATGGCATCCTCTTAATAAAGAATGCATCCATAAAGGACACTTTCTCATTATAATCATATTTAAAGATGGAGGGCGATACATAGATTCGTAGCTCTGTAAACCAGTCAGTCTCCTTCAATAATTACCTTCTTAGGAGGCTCTTGTTTCTGAGTATAGATGTTCGTTTTGCCAAAGCCCTGGCCGAACTTGACCACTGCTCCGTCCACAATGAAGGTCACGGGGGCATTCTTGGGCTGGGACTGATAGAAGAGTGGCAGGCCACACCTGCAAAGAGCAGAGCCAATCTCTGGGAAGCTCACAAGCCAAATCCCCGAAACACTGACTCCCAAAGCGCGCTCAGACGCTGGGGAACAGTTTTGTTTGTGGCATAAACTAAGGATTCACTCCTTCCAGTGTTTCCCTAAACTACTTCGTAAGAATCACTGAGGAATCACTTTAACAAGTAAGAATTTGTTACAACTGCTGCTTGGATTCCCAGGTCCCTCCTTCCAAAGATCCTGATTCAGCAAATTGGGGAGCTGAGGCCTGGGAACCTGTCACTTTCCTCAGCATCCCAAGTGATTCTTATTGTTGGACAAGTTTGGGAAAGGCTGGCCCCTGCCGCTGTTTGCTTTCCAGTTAAAGCTGCTGCCATTCTGGGGCACCTGGCTGGCTCAGTTGGGAGAGCATGCGACTCCGGGTCACGGGGTTGTGAGTTCAAGCCCTACGTTGGGTGGAAAGATTAGTTAATAAATAAAAATTTTAAAATAATAAAAGTTTCCTAAAAATATGTATTTTTAAGAAAACTGCTGGGGTGCCTGGGTGGTGCATCCAACTCTTGGTTTTAGCTCAGGTCACGATCTCAGGGTTGTGGGATTGGGCCCCGCGTCAGGCTCTGCACTCAGCATGGAGTCTGCTTGGGTTCCCCCCCTCTCTCACACATAAATAGATACATCTTTAGGGGGAAAAAAAACTGCTGCCATTCTTCCAAGAAGTCTGGGTACCCAGTGTGGGGGTTTTGTCTGGTTTTGTTTGGGTTTTTGTAGTGTCGAGAGAAGTATAAAGACTCCACTGCAGTGGTTAGCAAACTACTCTGTGGAGTAATCGTCCTACTTTCTTTGGTCGGTCAGTTTTATTCTACTTTTTCAGCTACATGAAGTAGAGTCATAACACATGATAAAATGGGGGGCGCCTGGCTGGCTCAGTTGGTGGAGTGTGTGACTCTTGATCTTGGGGTTGTGACTCTGAGCCCCACGCTGGGTGCAGACATTACTTAAAAACCAAATCTTAAAAAAAAAGACATGAAATGAAGTTAACAATTCTAATGTGCCTGGGAACTAAAATGCCTTCTTAGCCGTTTCCATGCCTTGATTCTTCCAGCATGAGCCTTCTGAGAGCCGAGATGTAACTGCCGTGCCACCAACAAGATGAACCTTACTGTAGTTTAGTATTCTCACTATTAACGGCCTAAAGCTGGACATGTATACATAGCTTTAAAGAACAGTCTCTATAAAGTTCTTGGGTCTGTGGGCCCACAATAGGCTTTATAAATAAGTCTGGATTACATTATGCTATGTTCCATTTACCGTATGACCCAGCAATTCCACTCCAAGAGAAAACGCACGTCCCCACCAAAATTTATACTAGAACGTTCATAACAGCTTTATTCAGGATAGTCAAAACCCTTAGCAACTCAAATGCCCTTCTGCGGGTGAGGAGCAAAACTGGTGCCATGGATACTACTCAGCCACAAAGAGGAACAAACCAGTGATAAATCTAACACCTTGGCTGAAACCCAGAAGCACTGTGCTGAGTGAAAGAAAGCAAACATAAAAGATACATACTGTATGTAGCAGAACACACACTGTAGAATTTAGATAACACTTTTAGAAAAAGCAATAACATTTCTAGAAAAGGCAAAACCGTAGCTACAGAAGGCAGATCAGCGGCTCCGGTGCGGGGCGGGGGGGAGGGTAAAGAAGGGGACTGACTGCAAAGGGCACATGGGGGCCGGGAAATGGCCTGCATCGTGGCAGTGGTGATGTTATAGGACTGCATGCTTCTGTCGGGATTTCTCAAATTGTATGCTTAACACAGGCAAATATGGGGGGCGCCTGGATGGCTCCGTCAGCAGAGTGTGTGACAGTCTTGGGGTTGTGAGTTCAAGCCCGACAGTGGGCACAAGGATTAAAAAAAATGTGCCTTTTAAAAAAAGGGCACATTTTGTCATATATAAATTACATCTCTATTCAAAAATGATACTATGTTAAAAAAAAAAAACAACAAAACATTTCTGTGACCAACTGGTCAGAGATGTGACTTCGACTAGTCTGTCCGAGGAGCATATTGGTATTTGTGTAGTTGAAGTTCGAAGGCAGTTGGGATTATAAGGATAAATATACAACAGAATTGTATCCGCATAATTCTTTTCCGAACACATTATTGCCTCTACTTTCTTATGCTTGGAGAAACCCACGCGGTTAAATACTTACTTGGCACACTTCTTCCTGTACTGTCGTTCAATGCCTTCAGGCCTGTGCAGAAAACGGAATTAAAAAAAAAAAGAGATGAACAAATCTCATAAGCTACCGACCTCACTACCTCATCTCTTCAAATGCTAAAAAAGGGCCTTTCGAAAGTTTTCACTTCCTAGATGAACCGGCTAGTTAAACCTGTATTAATTTTAAACCATTCCGGCCTCCCACACACGTTTCCTGAGCCCCTAGGATGGGTCAGGCATCCCCCTGACACAGGAGGGGAGGAGCAGAAGCTACAGTCATAGCAGCGGCCAGGGTCAAGGGGGTAACAATAACAACAACAATAGTAGCACTAGCAACCACGTCTACACTGTGCTCAAGATCACACGGAGTAAGTCATTTGTGCCTTAGAGCAACGCTGTGAGGAGGCAGCTCCTATTACCATTCCCATTTTACAGATGAAGGCTCCCAAACACAAACCAATCACATGATTTGCCCCAGGTCAGAGTCCAGAAGCAGAATCCCAGGACCCTGGGACCATAACCTGAGCTGAAGGCAGACGCTTAATGACTGAGCCACCCAGGCGCCCCTCTTTGTTTGCTTAAAAATGTGTCCTCGTTAGAAAATATATACGTGACCCTTCCTTACCAAATGACAAAGAGGTGTCCCATTCTACATAAGGGCTGCACTGTATTCCTTTGTGTGGATGAACCAAAATGTCTTTTACCTGTTGGATAAATTCCTAGAAGCGTATCCACTTTTTTTTTTTTTTTAAGATTTTATGTATTTATTTGATATAGAGAGACAGTGAGAGAGGGAACACAAGCAGGGGGAGCGGAAGAGGGAGAAGCAGGCCTCCCGCCGAGCAGGGAGCCCGATGCGGGGCTCGATCCTAGGACCCTGGGATCATGACCTGAGCCAAAGGCAGACGCTCAACCGACTGAGCCACCCAGGAGCCCCGTGTATCCACTTTAAATTCTGATAAATACTGCCAAATTACTCTCTAGGGAAGTTGAACCAATTTACGTTCCCACCACCAAAGTGAGAGTTCCTGTTTCTCTCCAGTCTCACCAACACCGAACGTTATTAAATTGCACGACTGCCAATCTAGCACGTGAAAACTGTGCTCTCATAATTTGCATTTCCTTTTTTAAAGAGTGAAGTCAGGGGGCGCCTGGGTGGCTCAGTTGGTTAACTGACTGCCTTCGGCTCAGGTCATGATCCTGGAGTCCCGGGATCGAGTCCCGTATCGGGCTCCCTGCTCGGCGGGGAGCCTGCTTCTCCCTCTAACCCTCCCCGCTCTCATGTACTCTCTCTCTCTCTCTCTCATTCTCGCTCTCAAATAAATAAATAAATCTTTAAAAAAAGAGTGAAGTCAGGTATCTTTCCCATATTTTATAGGCATTTGTGTTTTCTCTTTTTGGGTGAACTGTCAGTTCGTATCTTTTGCCTACTGAGTTGTCTTTTTATTGTCTATTAAGACTTGCAAATGTTGACGGGCCTCGCAAATATTTCTTCCCCAGTTTGACATCTGTCTTTGACTGCCCCCGACCCCGGAATGTGGATATTTTAGATTTTTGTGCAGTCAAATCAACAGCATGTGTGCATGCGTGCACGCGTGTGGTATTCAGTTAGGCCTTCTCCATTCTAAATTCATACCTAACATACAAACTTTAACTGCTATTCTAGAATCTGCTTCCACTACTGTTTCACTCCAAATCATTCTTTAAACAGAGGCAAGAGTGGCTTCCTAAGACACCTAGAATAAAATCCAGCCTCCTTACCATGGCCTCCCAGGCACCAGCTGAGCACAAAATTGGGCCCCCGTCTCTCTCATAGATGCCCTCCCTCACTATGAACTAGCCACACCAGGCTTCTGTTCTTTGAACAAACAAGCGCTTTCCCACCTCAGACCTTTCACACACACGCTTCTCTCTCCCTGGAATGCTCTTCTCACTGCCTTTCCCCTTCTCATTTTCAGGGTTTCAGCCACCTTTTCAAAGAGGTTTTCCTGAGATTCTCTGTATGGGCCCTTTGTTTCATTCACAGGACTTCCCCTAACCATAATGACTTTATTTTTCTGTCATCCCACTAGACTGTAAGGTCCATGAGATCAGAGATTAACGGAGACCATGCCTGTCTGACCACTCTATCCCCAGAGCCGAGCAAAGTACTGGAAACAAAACAGACATGCAATAAACATTGGTTGAAAGAATTCTTTTAAGAATTCGGTTTAGTGAGGAAAATTACAATCATGGAGGTAAGTTCTTAAATGGGAGAAATGTGTACTGGGAACGCAGAGGTGGGAGCACCAAGTCTGTCTGAGGCAGTCATGGAAGGCTTCATGAGGAGGTGATTGAAAGCCAACAGTCCTGATAGAAAGTGGTATTTCAAGCAGTGGGAATACTATGTGCAAAGCCAAAACAGCACAGCATATTCAGGGAATTACATAGTCTAATGTTAGTAGGACTTTAAAAATCAAGAGTACTACTGGTCTGACAGACAGAAAACGATTTGTAAGATTATACTATGAATGACCATATGGCAACAAATTAGATAATCGAGATGAAATGGGCAAACTCCTAGAATAGAACAGAAACTACCAAAACTCACTGGAAAAGAAACAGAAAATCTGAATAGACTATTCCACGTAAAGAGATTTAATTAGTAATCAAAAAACTTTGCACAAAGAAAAGCCCAGGACGAGTGGCTTCACTGGTGAATTATACTAAAAGTTCAAAGAAGAATTAATACCAACGCTTCACAAACTTTTCAAAAGAGGAGGAAACACTTCCCAGCTCACTGAATGAAGCCAGTATTACCCTGATACCAAAACCAGACAAAAGCACAACAACAACAAATTAAAGATCAATATTGCTTAAGAATACACAGGCAAAACTCCTCGAAAAAACAAAAAATACTAACAATCTGAATCCAGTGGCATTTAAAAAAGATTATACATGACCAAGTGGAATTTATCCCAGGAATGCAAGACTGATGCAACATATAAAAAATTAATCAAAGCAAGACACCACAGTAATAGAACAAAAGAGAAAAAAAACACATGATCATCTTAACATCTCAACAGACACAAAAGAAAAGCATTTGACAAAATTCAAAACCCTTTTAATATTCTAGGAATAGAAGGGAACTTTCTCCACCTGATAAAGGGCATCTATGAAAAACCCACAGTTACTAACAGTTACCTAACAGTTACATAAACTAATATCATACTTAATGGTGAAAGACTGAAAGCTTTTTTCCTAGGATCAGGAACAAGACAAGGATACTCACCCTCAACACTTCTATTCAACATTGTATGAGGAGTTCTAGGAAGGGCAAGTAGGCAAGAAAAAGAAATAAAAGGCATCCAGATTGGAAGGGAAAAAGTAAAACCATCTCTATTTGTAGATGACATGATCTTACATATAGAAACCCTAAAGAACACACAAACATACACACAATTAGAACTAATAAATTTGGCAAGGTTGCAGGTTACATGATCCATATATAAAAATTAACGGTAGTCCTATATACTAAAAATGAACAATAAAGGGGCACCTGGGTGGCTCAGTCATTAAGCGTTTGCCTTCGGCTCAGGTCATGATCCCAGGGTCCTGGGATCGAGCCCCACATCGGGCTCCCTACTCTGCAGGAAGCCTGCTTCCCCCTCTCCCACTCCCCCTGCTTGTGTTCCCTCTCTTGCTGTCTCTCTCTCTGTCAAATAAATAAATAAAATCTTTAAAAAAATAAAAAATAGTTAAGAAAACAATTCCAGTTACAATAGCATCGAAAAGAATAAAATACTTAGGAAAAATATAACAAGATAAGTGCAAGACTTGTGCAATGAAAACTATAAAACATTACTGAAAGAAATTAAAGAACACCTAAGTAAATGGAATGACATCCCATGTTCGTGGACTGAAGACTTAACACTATTAAGATGGTAATACTCCCTAAATGAATCTACAGCTTCAACACAATCCCTATCAAAATCCGAGCTGGCTTTTTGCAGAAATTGACAAGTTGATCCTAAAATTCACATGGAATTGCAAGGAATCTAGAAAAGCCAAAACAATCTTGAAAAAGAACAAAGTTGGAGGACTCAACATTTGCTGATTTCAAAAACCACAAAAGCTACAATAATCAAGACAGGGTGGTACTGGCATAAAGATAGACAGATAGATCAGTGGAATGAAACTGAGAGTCCCAATAAACCCATACATACATGGTTAATTGATTTTTGACAAGGGTACCAGACCATTCAAAGGAGAAAGAACAGACTTTCAATAAATGGTACTGGGACAACTCGATATCCACATGTACAAGGATGAATTTATTAGCTCCTTACCTCACACCATCTAAAAAAATTAACTCAAAAAAAATTTAATTCAAAATGGTTGAAAGGCTTAAACCTAAGAACTAAAACTATAAAACTCTTAGAAGAAAATGTAGACATAAACCTTCAAGACCTTGAATTAGGCAATGGTTTCTTAGAGAACACTCCTACAGCACAAGCAAAGAAAAAAATAAACTGGACTTGATTAAATTAAAAACTTTTATGCTTCTAAGAATATCATCAAGAGAGTGAAAAGGCAATCCACAGAATGGGAGAAAACATTTGCAAATCATATATCTGGTTAGGGGCTTAGTATCCATAATATATGAATTCCTATGACTCAACAATTAAAAGACAAATACACCAATAGGCAAAGAATTTGAACAGACATTTCTCCAAAGAAGATATGCAAATAGCCAAAAGGTACATGAGAAGATGCTCAACATCATTAGCCAGCAGGGAAATGCAAATCAAAACCACAATGAGATACTATTTCATGCATACTAGGATGGCTATAATCAAAGAGACAGACAATAACAAATATTGGTGAGATACTGGAACTCTCATACATTACTGATGAGAATGCAACTGCTTTTGAAAATACTGTAACAGTTCTTCAAAAGGTTAAACATAGAATTACCATACGACCCAGCAATTCATCAGTATACACCCATGAGAACCAAAAACACGTTCACACAAAATCTTGTACACACGTTCA